AAATTCCCGTGAGGGAACCCGAGCATCTTTGGTAAATAAACCCCAAATCCTCTTTGTTTATATTATTATTTTTATATCAACCTACTTATTTTACTTATGATCAAACATGTGTTGATTTCTTTGGGTTAATTACTGGAATATGAAAATGGTTATAAACATAAAGAACAGATTGTTCCACTGCTGATTTGGGTTCGAAATAAAAAAAAAATAAAGTAATATATACTGGAAATTGAAAACGAAACTAGGATTACCTCAAAAATACTTTTATTGCTTTCGAATAGATAGATGGAATATTTCTCCTGTTTACAGTTCTTTCTTTAAAGAAAAAGAAACCCCCTCTTTTTGTTACCAGTGTTTCGAATAGGATTCCGATCTTTTTTCAATTCCCCTCTTTTTCTTTCCTCCCTCTCTTTTTTCTCTCCTCCTTTTATGGTTTCAATCCTCATCGAATCCCCTTGTTCCTTTCCTTTTTTTTCTTACGTTTTGGTAAGATGTTGATGGGTTAGGTGAGATTTGTTGGATTTGCTGACTTTGGTGATGGTTTAGGTAGAATGTAGTTGCGTGGGTCTATAACTTCCACTAACGATTTTTTTTAGCCTTCCATCATGCAGATAAATCCAATTGAGGATGGTGCCCATATCCTTGAATCTTGTCACTACTAGTATGGTGCACGTGATACGGCCTGTTGGTGAACATGTCGTGAAACTGCTGGGGAGATGTCTCGGGTCTGTATGTGGCATGCATCAAAATATTAATTAAATAATAATAATATTTATAATATTTTTTTAAGCCAGGTCAAAAACGGGTGTCTACAGCCTTACAAAAATTGGGCCCTGTGCGGTTGGGCAGCCCGCACAAACCCAAAACCGGCTCTACTAGGACTAAGGCCCGTTTAGAAATATTGTCTAAAAGTACTTTTAGCTAAAAAAAACTCGCTTTGATTGCAAAACTAATGTCAAACAGGTGAACATTAAAAAAAATAAATGTGTGGAAACGATGGTTTCAAACCAACTGCAAGAGCTAAAATTTCTAGTTTTTCCATTTAAATATTGCGTTTATAAGCAAATTTATATTTTTTACCCTTATTAATGAATGGACTCCACTTAATTATGTATTTACATTTTATTTTAATAATTTAATACTAACATCTTTAAAAAACTAATTTATTATTTTTAACGATTTATTTAATTATTTAAAAACAATTAAAATTCATGTTTTGTATAATTAAATATTAATAGTGAGTTATATAAAATATATTTTTATATTTTTATTATAGTTTAAATTGATATAATTTATATATAAGTGTAAATATAATTTAAATGTTATATTTTTAATTTATAATATAATGTCTATAATGTATATCTTATATTTTTAAATTTACTTTTTAACATCAATCCTAAATAGTTAAATTTTAAACTGCAATTTTAAACAAAGACCCTAAGAACATGTATATAAACCACCATGCAAAGTTGGAGAGAAGACTCTTTCTCTTGAACTCTCTTTGATTCATCATATTTAGTTCATCTATTAATATGTGATTCTTCTTCCAAATCAGAAGGAAGTGAACGTCAACAACCACTATAATCTCATTTCCAACTCAGCAATGATAATTTTGAGAGGTTCAATTAAGGAAAGACAAACCCCCTAACCGAAATAGTGTAGATTAATACACAGATCAACAACACAATGACTTAGAATATATTCTCGAGGTGTTGTCCTTCCATTGTACGAGATTGATGTTGTGGCATGTTCATTTTAGGCAAAAGACGTAAAAAATTTCATATGCACATTAAGTAGGAGCATGAATTTAAATTCGTGCTCTTCCTTGATGCAGAGAATAATAATAAAAGAATTGGTGAAAACAAATACAATTCTTAATTCACTTATAAAATAGCTAATATTTTTTGCATAGGCTTGTAAAATAACGGGAACTTTTTAGAAAAGGAGTGTGTGATACGTAATTCCGTCACCTTTTAGGCTTTTTACATTAACAAAGCTGTCATGTCAAAATTAGAGCAACTTTTCTTTAAAACAAAGGAAATTTCTCGTATGTTATATCCTTTAAAAGTCTGGGCGGCCACTTTTAATATTTGCTTTTACGAGAGAGTGCTTTGCTTAAGCAAAAGAAGAACTGAAAATTATACAAGGAGCTCCAATGCAATGTGTTCCCCTGGGGAAAGAACATAAAAGATAACCCTCTTAGCTTTCAATTTGAGACCCATATCTCTTTTAGTATTCCAAACCATGAAATCCTTGGGGTTTGCTTAAGCTTCTTTAAACAAAGTTTAACCGTTATAGCTGGGGTATATCCTAAGATAAGCATGGACCGAGTTCGAGTCCATGTGTACGTAGAAAATCTCTATTGGGAGATTCACCCACCAAAGTCATGTGTACGTATTTGCTAACAAGAAACTAGAAATTGCATATATTCCCCTCTCACTATCATTCAAATGCTCCTTTTCTAGCATTTCGGAATTGCTTTGGATTCAAATAATTTGGTGACCCCTTTGTATGTCTTTTAAGGCCAACAAAGGTAGAGGAGAAGACTCTTTTTGACAGGAGGGGTGCTGAGAAAAATACTCACTGCTGAAAAGAGTAAACAATTGAGAGTTTTGGAATATTTATTTGTTCTTGTAAGGAACCCCTTGGTCCTACTTCCCTATCAATTTGTCTACACCACTCACATACAAATCATATGATAGTTTCATCACCCTTGCAGGGAAGTATAATTCATGTAACATAATGTTAATTGTGTACCTACTGAACCTATTAAGTAACTTTAAAAGTGGTAAAAATACGGTATTGTTCTTAAAGGTTCTCAATTCGAATAATTATATCTGCAGGATGCCTATGCATATATTGTCAATTAATTAAAAAATTTGAACATTTACTACCTTATAATTATTCATGTAAATTACTTTTCTGCTATTTAGAGACAGGAACTGTTAACGGTAAGCATGGGTTTTGCATTAAAAAAGCAAGTAGAAGTTGGAATGAGATGATTGAGGAATGAAAGGGAGATCTCTCGTTATTTGTGTAAGGAAAATATGCTTTGATTTTGGTTGTATAGAATTCCAAGATGTAAATAGTGGTGCGAGTGTAGCTCTTCTTTCTATGTAATGGCACGCTGTCACCGAGGAATACAGGAGCAGTAGTGATTTAAAATGGTCCAGAATAAGGCAGGAGCCATTTTTATATAGTATTTTGCATGGTTGATATGCTCATGCTTATAGCCAATTCCATGCACAGGTTTTTCTTCAGAGTTTCTTTTGACAAGTATGATATGATGCTGAGCAATATGTGCCACTGCTTTCTTACGAACTTCATTTTTATGTCATACATGCGGGAAAAAAATAAACTTGAATAAATGTTACCTATAAGAACATGCATTTTTTTAAGGTTTTCTTATTCGGAGCATTTATATAAACACCGCAATAGTCCATGTAATTGCTTATGTTAGAAAAAGAAAAGAAAAGTCATGCCCTATGGGACTTAGGGACTCCCTTGTCATGCTTTTTTACTTGATGATTTGTTCCTTAATTTTTGAACTAAAGAGGGCCCAAAAGCTCCGCTAACATTACGAAATAATGAAGAGAGAGGGGTGAGGGTGGGACTTGGGGAAGTAGAATGTTTTATGCTTTTAGGGGCTGTGTATTTCTTAATAATCCCAATCCCAATCCCAATCCCAATCCCAATCCCAAACATATACATATACTATGTATTTGCATTTTCAAAAAAAATTACATTTTATGGGTGTTATATTTTTGAGTCAAATGTTACACTTTTGAAATACTATTTCCTTTGATAAAATTACCCACAAACTTCAAAATTTTAAAAAAGATTCAAATCGACTGTTTGATGATTATATTTTTTTACTTTGTTAGTTTATATATAGATAATAATGATTCTAAGTCTCACACAAATTCACATAAAAAGTCTATATATAAACTTCTATCATAAAAATGAGATATGGATCTATTTTTTATAACACTGGTTGACAATCATAAACCTATTGGCTGCGATTATAAATCTTCAAGTACTTATTTATATTATTCGTCCAAAGTATAAAGGGTAAACTTTTTTTTTTTTTTGAGGATTATAAAGGGTAAACCTTCGATTGTTGACATAAGTTACTTATTTTCATCAACAAATCATATAAATCTTCAATCCTTTGGATTAATATAAATAGAATGATATCAAGTACTTATTTATATTATTTAAAATTTTTTAAATCTATTTACTAAGGAAAGCAAATTATGTAAGTTTTTTATCGTGAAAAGGAGAAAAAGGAGAGGGGATGAGAGTTCCCATTCGTTTAGGCTCATCACAGATATACAGTCCCCATTCTCTTTTGTGGTGCTCCTCGGTTTTGGCAAATTCAAATTCACTGCAAAAGCTTCCTTTCTTCCCTCTCAGACTCACTTTAGAGCCACCCATTTGCTTGCCTAAAACACCACATTTGCCCATGCTTAATTTGATATGCTTAATCATCTCATATTACAAGCCTCTTTCGTCCTTTTCGTTAAATAAAGTACTATCTACCTATGTTGTTATTGTTGACCAAAGTTATCTGGTTTTGTTTGTCTGCACTGTTGTTAATATTTTTAGGGTAAATAGACCATAGTGTTAAGTTACTTAGCATGTATATATAAATATGTAAGTTTTGCATAAAAGAGAGAGACCCACTTAGAATATATATTATGAAAATTAAGATGGATAAGAGAGAGAGAGAGCAAAGCTGAGGTGCCTTCGATACTGCTGCCTTCCTGCTTGTCAGCACATGCATTCCACTTTCCACTACAAAATCGACTTTGGACCTCAAAATTTAACCTCGCCTATAAGAAAAGCATAGCCCACCTTCTCATATATTCCGCTCTCTCTCCCCCGTCACCACCAACAAATCTCTCAATCTACTATAAAATTCTAAATATCAAAACTCAATCTCTAGATTTCGATCCTCTTTTCCTCAAAGCTCCAGCCTCTCATGAAGCTTCAAGTTTTCAAGCTTTCCTTCATCTATTCGATTTTGTTTTAAAGGGTCCTTTTAGTTCGTACTTTCGTAGAAAATAGGTTTTGGGAGAGACAAGATGAGAGCCGGGGTTTGCACGGTGCAACAAGCTCTAACGAATGAGGCTGCTAACGTCGTAAAGCAAGCTGTTACTCTTGCTAGACGGCGTGGCCATGCTCAAGTCACTCCTCTCCATGTGGCTAACACCATGCTTTCAGCTTCTACTGGTCTGCTCCGTACGGCTTGTATTCAGTCCCAATCCCACTCCCATCCCCTCCAGTGTCGAGCCTTAGAGCTTTGTTTCAACGTCGCTCTCAATCGCCTCCCGGCTTCGTCTTCAAGTCCGATGCTGGGAGCTCATCCCCAATACCCTTCCATCTCTAATGCCTTGGTTGCCGCCTTCAAGCGTGCTCAGGCTCACCAAAGGCGTGGATCCATTGAAAACCAGCAGCAACCACTCTTAGCAGTTAAGATAGCGATGGAGCAGCTCATAATATCTATTCTAGACGATCCTAGCGTGAGTAGAGTCATGAGGGAAGCTGGTTTCTCTAGTACACAAGTCAAAAGCAACGTCGAACAAGCCGTTTCCTTAGAAATCTGTTCTCAAAACTCTCCTTCAGTAAACAGTAAGTGCAAGGAAAATAGCAACACTAATTTAGTCCTCTCTCAATCTCCTACTGCTTCTCAAGTCGCAAACAATAAAGCAGGGAAACCAATAGGATCAGATCCGATAATCAGGGACGAAGATGTCGTGTTTGTGATGGAAAATTTGATGAACGATAAGAGAAGAAGCTTTGTGGTCGTAGGGGAGTGTGTTTCTACCATAGAAGGTATAGTTAGAACTGTGATTGACAAAGCTGATAAAGGAGACGTTCCACAGTCTTTGAGAGATGCTAAGTTTTTAAACCTTTCTTTCTCATCTTTTGGGCATCTGAGTAGAGTTGAGGTTGAACAAAAGCTTGAAGAGTTAGAAAGAAATATTTGGAATTGTTTAGGCACAGGGACTGTTTTGAATCTGGGAGATCTCAGATGGGCTATCGAGTATACGGTAAGTTCAAGTGAGCAAAGTAGGGGCTATTACTGTCCAGTGGAACATATGATCATGGAGCTTGGGAAACTATTGGTATCTGATATTGGAGAGAGTGGAAGGTTGAAGCTCATGGGGTTTTCCACTTTTCAAACTTACATGAGATGCAAATCTGGCCATCCATCATTGGAAACTGTCTGGGGTTTGCATCCTCTAACGATTCCTGCAAACAGCTTACGCTTCAGTCTCATCACTGATGGGTAAAAAACTAATCTTTGCATGAAGCTTTTGAAATATATACATACTAGTTATTGTTGTTTTAACCTTTGGTTCTCTTTTTTGTTTCTCTTCAGCGATCGGCAAAGTCAGGATGATAAGGGAGGGGATGAGAAGCAGCAGCTAAGTTGCTGTGCTGATTGCTCCTCCAAGTTTGAAAATGAATTTCGAAGCTTACAAAGCACACCATGTAACAGTGAGTCCACTACTTCGAGTCTCCCTCCATGGTGTAAACCATACAAGGATGGTGTTGGTACCAATGATAAGGTTATAATCACATTCCCCAAATATCTTCAAACCAAATTATTGTGTCCAAACCATACACAAAATTGAAAACTAACTTTTTTCCTTTTGTTTTCATTGTTCCTTTTCTCTACTAGGACTCAACCCCGGTCATAGAAATTTGCAAAAAGTGGAATTCGATTTGCTATTCGGTCCATAAATTACAGCCATATTCACTATCAGAAAGAACCCATACGATCTCTTCTCTTTCACCTCCTCCTTCCTCTACTTCTTTCTTTTCGAATGACAAGCAAAACCCTCATCTGCAACATCAACACCATGAATGGCCTGTGGTTGAACCTAGACAGTCTTGGAGAGATTTAATGGAGACGGAATATGTTCACAAGTTCAAGGAGCTAAATGCTGAGAACTTGACCACACTTTGCTATGCATTGGAAAAGAAGGTGCCATGGCAGAAGGATATAGTTCCGGAGATAGTGAGCACAATCTTAAAATGCAGGTCAGGGATGATACGAAGAAAAGGGAAGTTGAGGGATGGTGAGCCTAAAGAAGAAACCTGGTTGTTTTTCCAAGGTGTTGACATTCAAGCTAAAGAGAAGATAGCGAAAGAATTGGCTAGGCTTGTTTTCGGATCACAAAACAGCTTCGTCTCCATTGAATTAAGCAGTTTCTCATCTACAAGAGCCGACTCGACCGATGATAGTCGAAGCAAGAGATCAAGAGACGAACAAAGTTGCTGTTATATCGACAGATTTTCCGAAGCAGTTTCGAGTAACCCACATCAAGTGTTCTTCATTGAAGATATCGAGCAATCGGATTACACCTCTCAAATAGGGTTTAAAAGAGCTATCGAGAGAGGAAGAATAAGTAAAGCAAATGGAGAAGAAGGTATCCTTAGCGATGCTATCATCATTTTGAGTTGCGAAAGCTTCAGCTTAAGATCAAGAGCTTGCTCTCCTTCTGGAAAGCTAAAATCGGATGGCTCTTCCGAGGAAGGAAAAGTGTTTGCATCGGAGGAGACACCTGGTCCCTGCGTGTCCTTTGATCTAAATATGTCCATTGACGATGATAGTCTCAGTGAACAATCAATCCATGATATTGGGCTTCTTGAATCTGTTGATAGGAGGATCGTTTTCAAAATCCAGGAGTTGTAGACGATAAAAAAAGCCATAAACCCTTCAAGTTGTTAACGTCACGATTTCGTTTTTCTTTTCTTTTTCTTTTTTGTTCAAATTGTGTTTAGATTCTCAGAAATTTACTGGATTAATACAAAATAGATTTTTCCTGTTTCTGTAAAGTTACGTTCATTGATCATCTTCTACTCCATTCTCCGAAATGGACTATGTTAGAGTTGTACTCGAATTAGAAGTGATACAAATTAATTAATATTTAAATTTAAGAAAGTAATAATCTTAGTTTGATTAAAAGTAGACAACTTTATTGAAGTAGATTACTACTGTATTTAGTTTTCATTTGTAATCAACTATTTATCCTTATAACAGATACTAAGGCTAAGGTTAGATATCAAGTTTTTCTTTCACCAAAATCCTAATGTATTTTTTTCTTTTATATTAGTGAAATTCTTCTCCTCTGCACGTGATTTTTCCCTTTTGAGTTTTCTGGTAAATCTTAAAGTTCTTTATTTTACTTTTTCGATCGTGCTTATTTGTTTGCCAATAATCGTTTGATATTATAACAAATTGGTATTAGAACTTCGAGATCAAGATTATGACAACAATAAATTATGATATTTCTATTATTGGATCGAAACACTAGGTTCTCGTTGCGACAGGTGAAGATGATGTCCTTGCACAATTGGACCTAGATGATACATTGGAAGAGTTTGATAAGAAGACATTGTCAGATTGGATGAATGAAGAAAAGTGTCAGGATCGTAAAGCCCTGTCTCATATTCGTTTACACTTTTCAAATCAAAATTTGATGGATGTGTTGAAAGAAAAAATTATTGCTTCTTTGTGGGTGAAATTTTAGCAACTATGCATGTAGAAATCGTTGACAAGTAAGTTGCACTTAAAACGTCTTTATTCGCTCAAGTTGGCGGAAGGTTAATCTCTTGAAGAGCACATGACATCATTAAAGGAAACTGTATATGATCTAGAGACTTTAGAAGTGAAGTATGATCAAGAAAATTTAAGATTGATCATTTTGTGTTCACTGTCTCTTTCTTACTCATCTTTCAAACACATAATTTTGTACATTCATGAAACACTCACTCTTGAAGAGGTGTACAATGGCATGTACTCGTTTGAAAAGATGACGTATCTTGTATCTGATTTCGAGCCCCAAGTAGAGGGTCTCATGGTGCATAGATCAAGGAAGAGGCAGATTAAAATCTTCTAACTGACATAAAACTTGTTACTTTTGTAAAAGGAAAGTTAATATTAAATCAGAGTGTTACAAGTTACAAAATAAAATTAAGAGAGAAGCTTAATAGTAAAACTTAGGAAAATCTGGTGAGGCATGTCGTAGCGGTCCCTTGAGCTCGGAACGAGTCTTGACTTATTTGTGAAAAAATTTATTTTATAAAGAAATGTTTTGGAGTCACCATCAACCTCTTGGGTTAGGTAGGTCGAATACCTAAAAATTTTTTTTAAAAGAGTTTTTAAGAAAACATCATTTTAAAAGATAAACAAGCCTACGTGTATCCAGAAATTCATTTTTTGAATAAAAAATGGTTCGGGATCGATTACGCGTGGGAAGGATAAGCACCCCCACAACGCCCAAAATTAGTACCCTATTGATTATAAATTGTCTCTAATATTGGAAATCTAAGAATTCAAAAACAAATTTAAGTTACGATCATATTATTCCAAATTCAACCATACAATTTTTATTTAACGGAAAATTCTAAGGAGAAATATAAAATATTCCAATATTTCCAATCGAAGAGAAAATAATCCCTAGAATACTTTAGGACGAATACTTCTCTTTCCAATTGAAATAAAAAGAGTATAATAATTTCTCCCAAGAATTCGAGATTAAAATAATTTGATTCAACCAAATAAAAAATTAAGCCAATTAATCCAAATTATATTAATCATGCTTGATGATGAAAGTTTAAACTAGAATGGCAAAAATATAAACGCAATAAAAAGAAAAGACCCAAAAATAAGTATCACACAAATATAAGTGCTTAAATAAAATAAAATCATAAATAACATAAGGATCAAAATGCAAGATAGCAAAACAAGACATTCAATGTGATAATATATGTATATATATATATATATTCATGGGACTAAAATAGAATAGGCAGAAAATAAAGCGCAATAATTAAAGGACTAAAATTAAAGTACTGAAAAATGAAGGGCAAAAATAAAAAATAGAAAATTAAAGTAATGAAATTAAAGGACTAAAATTAAATAAATAAAAAGTAAAGGGCCAAAATTTTAAATGTGCATAAAATTAAATAAAAAATAAATTAAAAATGTTAGTTAATTTTAATTTTTAACCCAGACCGTAAATAATGCGTGTCATACCCCGGGACAGGTTGTTGCAAGGTCGTACATCATTCGAACATAAAATAAATAAATAAATAAAAAGTTAGCGGTTAGTGGTTAGATGTTAATAGAGTATGGACCATAATAATGTGGATTGTAACCGGATCGGGTCACCATAAGGTCGATTCGAATAATAGCAATAAATAAATAAATATAACAGTGGTTAAAGTGCAAGAAAATAAAAATCGGTGACCAAATTAAATCTAACAAAACAGCAGAAATAGTGACCAAATTAAAATAATATGAAATAATATGTCAAAATTAAAATAAATAAAAAAAGGAAAGATCAATAACTATAATGCAAAAACATTTTTAAATATGAGGGACTAAAACATGATTTATCATTTTTAACTTCAAAATCACCTAACAAAACAAAAATGAAAAATAACATGGACAGACCCTAAAAATCAAAATAAAATTAAAATGTCCCAAAATCAATGACTAAGATGCAAAATTTTGACAAAGGTTGAAAGGTTAAAGGAAAATAACCCAAGAATATAATATTAACCCTAATATATTAATCTAAAAAAACCTAAAATTAAACCTAACAAGACATTCATCTTCTCCCTCCTTTTCTCTCCAACATGCGGTGCAAAGCTTCCCCAACTCTCAAGAATGGCACCACCCCAAGGACCAATGGCGTCCAACACCAGCCACCATGAAATGGTGGTTAGCCGAAGCAAAACTCGACGAAAACCTAAACGAGACACTCCCTTTTACTCCTAACACCTAAAACTAAGTATGGTTGTAATGCACTTTTAATTATGAATCCTTCCATTGGAAATGACGATCCACCTCCTTCTGTGATGCATTTTTATTTAAATATTTTTGGGATAAAATTGGTGATTACAATTGCTCCTCTTTGCTCATCACTATGAAACATGAATAGGGAAAAGACAAAAAACACCAATTTTATCTAGCTTGGTCATCTGATATCTTTGAGCTCCAAGTTTTCTCATTATGAACTTTTCACTCTTATGTTCGGAAGAGTTCTTCTCATTATGAACCATTCCATTAAAATGTTGATTCACCTCCTTCTGTGATAGATTTGAGTAAAAGGTCGAACAAGTTCTTCTTATTATGGACTTCTTCTTTGGATGAGTTCTTCTCATTATAAACCCCTCCATTGGAAATGTTGATCCACCTTATTCTGTGATGGGATCGAACAAAATGTTGAGGTTGATCTACCTCATTCTGTGATAGAATCGAACAAAAGGGTGGACAAGTTCTTCTTATTATGAACCTATTCTCCCTCTTCGAGACGAGTTCTTCTCATTATGAACCCTTCCATTGGAAATGACGATCCACTTCTTTCTGTGATGGAATCAGGCAAGAATGACAATATTTATCCACCTCCTTCTATGATGGAATCGAACAAAATGTTGGTGTTGATCTACCTTATTCTGTGATAGAATCGAGCAAAAGAGCGAACACGTTCTTCTCATTATGAACTAATTCTCCCTCTTCGTATGAGTTCTTTTCATTATGAACCCTTCCATTGTAAATATCGATCCACCTCCTTCTGTGATAGAATCGAGCAAGAATGACAATATTGATCCACCTCCTTCTGTGATGGAATTGAACAAAATGTTGATGATGATATACCTTCTTCTGTGATAGAATCGAGCAAAAGGACGAACAAGTTCTTCTTATTATGAATTTCTTCTCCCTCTTCGGATGAGTTATTCTCATTATGAACCTTTCCATTGGAAATGATGATCCATCTCCTTCTTTGATGGATTGAATTGAAAACTTCTTTTTTAGTCATGGATTTGTGAAACAAAATCTCTGTTAACTTTTTGAATTCTTGTCAAATATTCAACATTTGGGAGGAAAATAAATGAAAGAAAAGAAATTTATTTCAATAAAAGATATCTCAAATGGGATAAAATTTTTTCAAGTGAAACAATTCCAAATTTTATGTTTAAGAGGAAAATGATTCAAGCAATATGAAATTGACTTTAAGAAAAATAATCTCAAGTCAGATAAATCTTGTTTCGAATGAAGCATTCCCAAAACTTGTGTTTCAAAGGAAACTATCTCAAGCGAGACGAAATTGATTTTAAGAAAAACAATATCGAGTGAGATAAATCTTGTTTCAAGTGAAGCAATTCCAAATTTTGTGCTTCAAAGGAATCTGTCTCAAGTGAGACGAAATTGATTTTAAGAAAAAGGATCTCAAGTGAGATAATTTTTATCGTATCATATGAGAAACTTTGAAAATCGATTTCTCATTTTTCCAAAAATATCAAATGAAAATATCATGCCAGAAGATCTTACAGATTTCTTAGAAATAATTTACTAAGTAAGAAAATTTGGAAATTGCTTTCTTACTTTTCAAAAATTTGAATTTTGGGAAAGATTAAATGAGAAACTTTGAAAATCGCTTTCTCATTTTTCACAAATCATATGTAAACATCTTAGTGGTTGGGTAACATGCCCCACTTCCAAGTAATGATTTTTTTATGGATTGGGCTCCTCTACTCTTGAGACTCTGCCACTCCAAACATGATTTTCTCTATTTGAGGTTTGAATTGTGATTTTCTCTATTTGAGGTTTCAATTATGATTTTCTCTTCTCGAGGTATTGACGTCATAAGTCTTCTTCTTTCTTTAGAAAATCTTATAAAAGACCATGCATTTATTTATGAAGATGCAGATACAATTAAATGTGTCTAGATGTAATGCATTTTCTTATGCAAATGATGTTCTCTTTGATGCAA